GACAAGGATGCCCACTATCACCAATCCTATTCAACATAGTCTTGGAAGACCTAGACACAGCAGTCAGGCAAGAGAGGGAAATAAAAGGGATCCAAATTGGAAAAGAAGAGGTAAAAGTGTCACTACACACTGATGACATGTTACTATATATAGAAAACCCTAGATAGTCCACACAAAACTAGAGCTGATCGAAGAATTCAGCAAGGTAGCAGGTTACAAGATTAACGTTCAAAAATCAGTTGCATTTCTTTACACTAACGAGGAATCAACAGAAAAAGAAAGTAAAGAAACAATCCCCTTTAAAATACCACCCAAAGTAATAAAATATCTGGGAATAAATCTAACCAAGGAGGCGAAAGAATTATACACAGAAAACTATAAACCATTGATGAAGGAAATTAAAGAAGACTTTAAAAAAATAGAAAGATATCCCATGTTCTTGGATTGGAAGAATCAATATTGTTAAAATGGTCACACTGCCCAAGGCAACCTACAGATTTCATGCAATCTCTATCAAATTTTCCAGGACATATTTCACAGAACTAGAATAAATCATAATAAAATTTATATGGAACCGTCGAAGACCTAGAATTGCCAAAGCATTACTGAAGAGTAAGAAACAGGCTGGAGGAATAAGTCTCCCAGACTTCAGACAATACTATAGAGCTACAGTCATCAAGACAGCATGGTATTGGTACAAATACAGACATATAGACCAATGGAACAGAATAGAGAGCCCAGAAATGAACCCACATATTTGGGTCAACTGATCTTCAACAAAGGAGGCAAGAATGTAGAATGGAATCAAGACAGTCTCTTCAGCAAAGGGTATTGGGAAAATTGGACAGCAGCATGTATAGTAATGAAGCTAGAACACTCCCTTACACCATACACAAAAATACACTCAAAATGGATCAAAGACTTAAACATAAGACAAGATACAGTAAACCTCCTAGAAGAAAATATAGGCAAAACATTATCTGACATACATCTCAAAAGTATTCTCCTAGAACAGTCTGCTCAAGCCATGGAAATAAAAGCAAGAATAAATGGGACCTAATGAAACTTACAAGCTTCTGCATAGCAAAGGAAATCATAAGTAAAACAAAAAGACAGCCTACGGAATGGGAGAAAATTTTTGTGACTGAAACTGACAAAGGCTTGATCTCCAGATTATACAAGCAGCGCATACAACTTAGTAAGAAATAACCAAACAACCCAATCCAAAAATGGGCAATAGACCTAAACAAGCAATTCTCCAAGGAAGACATACAAATGATCAATAGGCACATCAAAAAATGCTCAATATCACTAATTATAAGATAATTGCAAATCAAAACTACAATGAGGTATCACCTTACACCAGTCTGAACAGCGATCATTCAAAAATTCACAAGTGACAAATGGTGGAAAGGGGAGAAAGGGGAAACCCTCCTGCACTGTTGGTGGGAATGCAGTTTGGTGCAGCCATTGAGGAAAATAGTATGGAGATTCCACAAAAGACAAAAAATAGACTTACTATATGACCCGGGATTTCCACTCCTGGACATACATCCAGAAGGAACTCCAATTCAAAAAGACACCTGCACCTCAATATTCATAGCAGCACTATTTACAATAGCCAAGACATATAAACAGCCTAAATGTCCATCAACAGATGACTGGATAAAGAAGAGGTGGTATATTTATTCAATGGAATACTACTCAGCCATAAAAATTGATAACATAATGCCATTTGCAGCAACATGGATGGTCCTGCAGAATGTCATTCTAAGTGAAGTAAGTCAGAAAGTGAAAGAAAAGTACCATATGAGATCGCTCATATATGGAAAAAAAAAAGCACAAACAAAGCATAAATACCAAACAAAAATAGACTCATAGACATGGAATACAAACTTGTGGTTGCAAGAGGGCAGAAGGTGGGAAGGGATTGACTGGGATTCCAAAATTGTAGAATAAATAAACAAGATTATATTCTATAGCACAGGGAAATATATGCAAGATCTTATGGTAGCTCACAGAGATAAAAATGTGACAATGAATATATATATGTTCATGTATAACTGAAAAATTGTTCTTTACACTGGAATTTGATACAACAGTGCAAAATGATTATAAATCAACAAAAAATATTTTTAAAAAATTTCCTGTGTTTATTAAATGTGCCCATTCATAAACCTAAATCCCACTATGGAGTATTTAAAGTGTTGTTATGTTCCTTTCTTTTTAGTTTTGATATAACTTATCTGTTTAAGCTCGAAACATTTGTGCTACTTTTTAAATGCTTGTTAGAAGTAGATGTCATGTTCTACAATATTTACATTTTTAAATGAAATATCAAAAGCATGTTTACCTCCTTTATTTTAGCACACATATGAATAAATTTCAACACAATTCAAATTCTTTTATATTTAAAATCTGAAAATCTCAATATCTCAATTTATTTTTTCCCATTCCTTCCTCCCCCTTGTAACCATGTTTATTTTCTATGTCTGTTAGTCTGTTTTTGTTTTGTAAATAAGTTTGTCTTTTTTTTTTTTTTTTAGATTCCACATATAAGTGATATCATATGGCGTTTTTCTTTCTCTTTCTGGGTTACTTCGCTTAGAACGATAATCTTCATGTCAATTCACGTTGCTGCAAATGGCATGATTGTATTATTTTTATGACTGAGTGATATTCCATTGTATAAATATACTACAGCTTCTTTTTCCAGTCTTCTGTTGAATGATTAGGTTGTTTCCATGTCTTGGCTCTTGTAAATAGTACTGTTATGAAACTTTGAGTGCCTATATCTTTTAGAATTAAGGTTCCCTCTGGATAAATGTCCAGGAGTGGGATTGCTGGATCATATGGTAAATCTATTTTTAGTCTTTTGAGGAATATTTATACTGTTTTCAATAATGGTTGCACCAAGTGCATTCCCACCAACAGTGTAGGAGTGGTCCCTTTTCTGTGCACTTTCTCCAGAATTTGTCATTTGCAGACTTCCGAATAATGTTCATTCAGACTGGTGTAAGGTGATACCCCATTGGAGTTATAATTTGCATTTCTCTGATAATTAGCTATATTAAGCATTTTTTGTGTGCCTATTGGCCATTTGTAAATCTTCACTGGTGAATTGATTGTCTAGGTCTTCTGCCCATTATTTGAATTGGGATTTTATTATTGTTGTTGTTATTATTATTATTAAAGTTTTATGAGCTGTTGATATATTCTGCATATTATGTCTTTGTCAGTCTCATCTTTTGCAAATATTTTCTCCCACTCCATAGATTGACTTTTTATTTTACTTATGGTATCCTTTGCTGTGTAAAAGCTTATAAGAAAAACATCCCATTTGTTTATTTTGGCTTTTATTTCTATTGCCTGGATAGACTACCCTAGGAGAATATTGCTAAGATTTATGTCAGAGACTGTTTTGTCTATGTTTTCTTCACAGAGGTTTATATTGTCTAGTCTTGTGTTTAAGTCTTTAAGCCATTTTGAGCTTATTTTAGTTTATGGTGTGAGGGAGTATTCTAACTTGATTGATTTACATGCAGCTGTCCAGTTTTCCCAAAGCTATTTGCTGAAGAGACTTTCTTTACTCCATTTTATATCCTTCTATGATTTGTCAAAGATTGATTGAACAAAAGTTTGTGGTTTTATTTCTGGGCTCTTTATTCTGTTCCATTGATCCATATGTTTGTACTAATACCACACTATTTTGATTACTAAAAGTCTGCAATTACTATTGTCTGCAATCTGGGAGGGTTATTCATTCACCTTTATTCATTTTCTTCAGTTTTTGCTTTGGCAATTTTTGGTCTTTTGTGATTCCATATAAATCTAAGGATTGTTTGTTCTAGTTTTGAGAATAGTGTCCTGAATAACTTTCAAAGGGATTAACTTAAATCTGTAAATTGCTTTGGGTAGTGTGGCCATTTTAACAATATTAATTCCACTAGTGCAATAACATGGAATATTGTGTAATTTCATTAAGTCATCTTTAATTTCCTTAGTCAATGTTGTGTAGTTCTCCACATATAAGTCTTTCACTTCTTTAGTTAGGTTTATTCTTAAGAATGTTTTTTTTTTTTTTGGAGATGCAATTTTAATCAGGATTGTTTTTTTTACTTTCCTTTTCTGATATTTAATTGTTAGTGTAAAGAAATGCCACTGTATTCTGTAGGTTAATCGTGTATTCTGGAACTTGCCAAATTCTTTTGTCAGCTCTAGCAGGTTTGTTTGGAACCTTTAGGATTGTCTATAAATAGTATCATATCATTCACATGTGATGACAATTTTACCTCTTCTATTCCAATTCCGACCCTTTTATTTCTTTTTCTTATCTAATTGCAATGGCTAGGACTGCCATTACTATATTGAATAGAAGTGGTTAGTGTGGTCATCCTTGTCTTGCTCCAGATTTTAGCAGGAAGGCTTTCAGCTTTTCACCATTGTGCATCATGCTGGCTGTAGGTTTGTCATAAATAACATGCATTATGTTGATATATATTCCATGTGTACCCAGGGTTAGAGTTTTAATCACAAATGGGTGTTGAATTTTATCAAATTCTTTTTCTGCATCTATAGAGATGATCATGTGATTTTTGTCCTTTCTCTTATTGATGTGGCTTATCAAGTTGATTGATTTGCATATGTTGAACCATCCTTGTGTCCCTGAGATTATTCCAACTTGTTCATGGTGTATGATCTTTTTTATGTACTGTTAGATTCTGTTTGCTAATATTTTGTTGATAATTTTTACATCTATTTTCCTCAATGATATTGGCCTATAGCTTTCTTTTTTTTTTGTATTGTCTATATCTGGCTTTGGCATCAGGATGATGATAGCTTCATAGAATGAGTGGGGGAATATTTCCTCTTCTTCAGTCTTTCGGAAGAGTTTGAGAAGGATTGGTACGAGTTCTTCTTTGGATGTTTGATAGAATTCCCCAGTGAAGCCATCTGGTCCTGGACTTTTGTTTGCAGGGAGGTTTTTTATTGATTATATTTCACTTCTAGTGATTGGTCTGTTCAAATGATCTTTCTTCTTGATTCAGTTTTGGTGGACTGTATTCTAGAAATGGGTCCATTTCTTCTAAGTTACCCAATTTATTGCCATATAGTTGTTTACAGTATTCTCTTAAAATATTTTCTTGTATTTTTGTAGTGTTTATGCAATTTCATTTATTATTTTGCTTATTTGTGTCCTTTCTCTTTTCTTCTTGGTGAAACTTTTGACCAGAGGTTTGTCAATTTTGTTTACTCTTTCAAAAAACTAGATTTTGTTTTGACTGATTTTTTCTATTTTTTTTAATTTCTATTTCTTTTATTTCCTCCTTGATCTTTATTATTTCTTTCCTTATGCTGACTTTTAGTTTTGTTTGGTCTTCATTTTCTAATTCTTTTAGGTGATAGTTTAGGTTTTTTGGGTTTTTTTTTGTTTTTTATTGTTCTTATTTTTTTGAGGAAGTCCTGTATTGTTATGAACTTCCCTCTTAGGTCTGCTTTTGCTGCATCACATACATTTTATGTGATTGTGTTTTCATTATCTTCTGTCTCAAGGTATTTTTTTTAATTTCTCCATTGATTTCATCATTGAACCTTTTTTTTTTTTTTTTTTTTTTAGTATCATGCTGTTTATTCTCTATGCTATTTTTTTCTCATTTTTTGGGTTGATTTCTAGTTTCATACCATTGTTTCCAGTTAGAAGCTTGAAATAATTTCTGTCCCCTTAAATTTGTTGAGGCTTCTTTTGTTCCTGAATACATGACCCATCATACAGAATGTTCCATCAGCACTTGAAAGAATGTATATTCTAATTTTGGTGGATGTAATGTCCTAATACTACAAACGAATTCCAATGGTTCTATTGTATCATTTAGTATCTTCACTGCCTTAAGGATTTCTGTCAGGAAAACCTGTCTAATGATGTTGGTGAAGTGTTAAAGTCTCCTATTATTATTGTATTCCCATCAATTTCTCCCTTTATGTCTGTTGGCATTCATTTTATATATTTAGGTGCTCTTATATTGGGTGCATGCATTTTAGTGAGTGAAATATCCTCATCTGGTACTGCTCTTTTGATCATTATATAGTGCCCTTCTTTATCTTGCCTGTGGCTTTGTTTTAAAATCTATTAGTCTGAATCGAATATTGCTACCCCTGCTTTCTTGTCCTTTCCATTTGCATGAAATATCTTTTTCCATCCTCTCACTTTTACTCTGTGTGTGTTTCCTTCACTCTAAAGTGGGTGTCTTGTAGGCAGCATATTGTAGGCTTTTGTTTTATTATTGAATCTGCCACTGTATGTCTTTTGATTGAAGTATTTAGTCATTGACATTTATAGTAATTCTTTGTAGACACGTGTTTATTGCCATTTTGAATTTTTTCCCAGTTGATTTGGAATTTCTTTATTGTTTATTTATTTTCCTTTTTGCTTTTACTTTTGTGGTTTTGTAATTTCTTTTGTATTATCTTGATTTCTTTTTGATTTTGTGACTGTATTGTATGTTTTTGTTGTTACTTGTTTTTCAAGTATGTTAAACCTTCAAACTGTAGTCATGTAGGTTTAAACAGATCCTAAAATGAATAAAGTAAAAAACAAGATAATGAAAATGAAAAAAAAAACAAATAAGAGAGAAAAAAATGTATATTTTCTTGCTCCCCTCTCTCACCTTTTATGATTTTGATTTCTTTTTTTTTACATCTTCATGTTTATTCTCTTGCAACTCATAGTAGTCATTGCATTTCCAATTATGTTTTTTTTCATTTGTATAGATTCCTGCTTCATTTCTATTTAGAGTAAGCCTTTTAATACTTCTTTTAGGATAGATTTAATATTGCTGATTTTTTTTTATTTTTTGCTTGTTTGTAAAATTATTTATCTCTCTTTCTACTCTAAAGAGTAGTCTTGCCAGATAGAGTATCCTGGTTTGCAGCTTTTTCTCATTCATTACTTCAACTATACATTGCCACTCCATTCTGACCAACAGTGTTTGTCAAGAGAAATCAGCTGAAAGTCTTATAGCACTTCTTTTGTAGCTAACTCTTTGCTTTTCTCTTGCTGCCTCTAGAATCTTTTTTTTTTATCTTCAACTTTGGCCATCTTAATTTTAATACGTCTTGGTGTAGGTCTGTTTAGGTTCTTCTTTGGGACCCTCTGTGCTTCCTGTACTTAGATATCTGTTTCCTTCTTTAGTTTAGGGACGTTTCCAGTCATGATTTCTTTAAATATCTTTTCAATTCCCCTTTCTCTTTTTCCTCATTCTGGGATCCCTATTATGTATAGTTTGGCATCCTTTTTATTATCCCATATTCCCTTATATTATTTCATTGGTTTTTACTTACTTTTCTGTTTGCTGTTCTGATTGGGTGACTTTGTTATCCTGTCTTCTAAGTCACTTATTTATTCTTCTGCATTATCTAGTCTTTCTTTGGCTGCGTTTAGCTAGACTTTTATCTCAGCCATTGAGTTTTCTGCTTTTAATTTCCTCCTCTTTATAGTTTATATTTCCTTTTCACAGTATTCTCTGTCTGTATTCATAGTCTCTCTTATTTCCTTCAGTGATTTGAAGTCATGTCCTAGGAGACCGTCAAGATTTTTCTCATTGTTCTTTCAGGGAACTTCTCTTTTTCTTTTGAGAGTGGTTCCTCAGCATCTTCATTTTATTTACATGTCTCTGGTTCTGCTATATTTTTTGTTTGTTTTTATTTAAGTTGGAACATTCCTGGGTAGTCTGTGTGCATCTAATTTTTTTCCAATTGTTATTCTTAGTATGGATAGTTGCCATGTTTTTTTCTTCAATGTGTGTTGACTGTTATCCCTTTTATTGTGGGGTGTGGCTGGCATCTTGATCAGAGCCTGCCTTGATTGCTGTTGTTGAGTGTGGCCTTTTGTTTTGTGGTTGTCACAGCCTTGACAGTGGCCTGTTATTCTCCATTGTTGCTGAAATAGAGGCTTCTAGATCCATTTCTGAGCTGTGGTATGTGGTAGGCAGAACTGGAACACTTCAGATGGGAAGATTTGGCAGGAGCTGTCCACAGGGAAGTGCCCTCTCTGGTGTCTGCCACTTGTTATGTAGGCTTACAAAGTACTCTTTGTTGATGCTGCGTTTGTTCCCCACCTTAGCTGTAGGAAGTCAATCACCTACTCTGGTGTCCCCCAGGTTCTGGGCCCTAGGAACCACCAATGCATATCTGCCAATATCAGGCACTAATGCCCTCTTTAGCAAGAGTGTAGTCACACACCTGAATCCATGGTACATCACACAGTCAGGACAGATCCCAGTGCTAACTCTGCATCCAGTAAGGTCCACAGTCCTGTCATAAATATCCATACTCGCCTGTGCCATGCACCAGCACTCCACTCACTGCCTGTTCATTCCAGAGGTATGGGTTCATAAAGGGCCCAGAGAGAGCAAGGCCACCCTCTCTACATGGGGCTTTAAACAAATATCTCTCCCACCTGTAAAGTCTCAGGGTCACTGGATATGGATTCAGCTTTCAACCCTGGCTCCACACAGCAGTGATGGCTATGACCAAGCCCCACTTCTCTTCTCAGGAGAACACATCAACAATGGAACCAAGAAGAAACAGCAGCTATGGCATGGCTGCATAGTGGCTGTCCTACATGTCAGCCAGCAGTAGTGCTTTTTATGGAGTCCCAGGCTGTTCTGTTCTGCACATATCCCCAGCCAGAGCTCCCACCACCTTCCAGTTCCCTGAGGCTACCTCTGTGAAGTGTGCCCCAGTCCTCTGCCCAGGCTCCTCCCCAGTCTCCAACATCCAGTCCCTGCTTGTCCCTGCCAGCCCTGCCAGGGCTGAGGATTATAGGAACACTCTGTGCCAGTTTAGCTTAGTTCTGTTTGCCAAGCAGCTGCTACTTTCTCCTCTGAACCCCAGAAGCTGTGCTTCTGTGGTACTCAACTATTTTTTCTTTTTTTTGTCTTACCAGGTTTTTATTTTTAATACTCCCATATTTTGAAGTGAGAGACACTCTGTCAGAGTTTAGTAGGTGTTCTGTGGAAGTCAATGAATTTGTAGATGTAATTTTTGGTATATTTGTGGGAGAGGGCAAGCTGTGAGTCTCTTCTCTCTGCCATCTTACACCTTCTCTGTTCTTGCTTTTTTAAAGATATAATTAATTTCTGTCTATATTATCTATAAGGATTAAGTTTGTTGGCTTTTAAGAAGATATTTTATGTAATTAATTTTACCTTGATTATTTTACTAGAATACAAGCATTACCAATTCTGGAGTTCTTTTCGTGACCTAAATCACTGTTCTTTTATATCCACTTTAATATAACCAAAAAACATAATAGCCATGAGGATTTGTAGGTAGGGGTAATGTGGTGAAGTAGTGCTATGAAATCATGCTAAAATAATAATAACCAGAGTGTATTGGGGAGAAAATATAAACATGGAAGGGTCAATTAAGATGCAAGTACTCCTTGGTAAGCAAAAGAGCCTTCACAAATTGGAAGAAGACATAAGGAAAGAAAGAGTTTACAATATTTGTTGAAGAAACTCTGATCATCAAGCTAAGGCAGTATGGTGAAGGAAAGAAAAAAGAATATACAAGAAAGCAAATTCTTAAATTCAAGAAAAAACAAAGCTACATTTTCAAGAGAACACAGTATTGACTTACAGATGCACATATAGATTAATGGAACAAAAATATTTCCAAAACAAACCTATGACTATATAGTCAATCTTTTTGTTAACAAATGCTCTTGTGTAACTCAATGCAGAAAGGAGAGTTTTTGCAATAATAGTGCTGAAATGACTGGACATACATACGAAAAAAAATACCCTAAGGCTTACCTCACACCAACCAGAATGTTGTGTCAAAAGGACACGGCTAACCATAAAAGATAAAAACATATTTTTGAGGAAGAAAAGTTAGGATAATATTCATGACAATGTGAGAGACAAAGACCTTATACAAGACATAGTAGGTACCAGACATTATAAAAAATATTGATTGGACTTTATTAAAATTAAAGTTCTGTATATTTTCATTCCCAAGGTGTAAATATTTTTATATTTTACTACTGTGTATACTGCATATACCACATTATATATATATATATATATATATGGTAATATATATTCAATAAATGTAAAAAATCATACAATTCACAAATAAAACTAATAATCCAGTGAAAAGGGTTATTTTAAAGTAAATTTCAAAAAGACATGCAAATTAACAATTAGCATAAAATTTTCTCAAAATCATCTGTCATATGTGAAATGTGATTTTCATGTATTGGCAAGAATGTGGACAAACTTGAATTCTCATATATTGTTGGCACTCTATTAATTTATTTTTATTTCTGAGAAGAGTATCATTTCAGGGAATGGATGTGATACTTCTGTAATGCATTTAGAGAAGTATTTACACACTTTATCATAGTAATGATATTTATTAAATTTATATCTGCTTGTTATGAAGAGAACAATATTTTTTAGTTGAAGCTGTCATTGTATTGATATGAACATCTATAACAGGCAAAATTAAAGTGACAGAAAGCAAATGATTTGTAAACTGGGGATGGGTTTGAGTAAGCGTATTCATTGTAAAAAGGCAAAATAGAACTTTTTGGTGGAATATACATATTGTATGTCTTCATTGAGATGATGATTAGTCGAACATACATATTTTTCTAAACCCATAAAAGTGTATGTTTCAAGTTGGTGCATTTTGTTTTGTATATGATAAGCTTCTATAAAGTTGATGTGAAAAGTAAAAAAAACATGATTAACGGTTGGACCTTTAAACCACTTTCAATATGTTTTTTACATATTTGTTAACTTTCAGAGATATAGATATAGATATACTTTCCTTTTCAATTAAAATAATCAATTAACATAAACTACCAATTTGAGTCATATTTTTATTTTTAACTAGGATAAATATCTTAATGATGTAGACAGTTGCAACACTGAAAAACTATATCATATAAGAAAATACATATGAGTGATTTATATACTAGAGGTTAACGCTTGTGCTCTATTTTAATTCACTAAAATATACACCAACCAATAGGGGAAGAAGGTGAATGTACACTATTGATCAGGGTATGTTTGCCACCCTTTTGGTCTTTATTCTATATATCTCAATCTCCAGGTAAAACATTTAGGTCTGACATGCCCGATATCTGCACAAGCATTGATTTGTAACAACAAATAAAGTGGCACAATCAAAGAACAAAGTCAGGAAGAAATATCAGCTCCTTGCAGAAGATGAAAGCTCTGTTGTTAGTCATGTTATTGATGGAATCACTAATGGAGTTAGAGACTAAACTTAAAGAAAGAGAAAATGTTCATCTCTCTTCATCATATGTTATACTTATGTATGTAATTTTTTCCTTTATTTTTCTTCCTTCCTATTTCACTTTTAAATCAGTGTAAAAATATTAAAGCTAAATATCATAATCATCTTCCATCATAACACATCCAATAATACCCTAGCCTATGCAGAGTTTTAAACAAAAAAAATCCTTACTTATTAATCCTACACATATACATTTTAATATTAGAAAAGAGAAAATCATAGAAATATATTTTAGAAGCAAGTTTACAAATGTAATTACCTCATTTAGTGTCCAGAAAGAATACCATGTATAAATATATGCCAAAATCATTGCTAGATGGCTTTGAATAATTTGAAAAGCAAAGTGCTAAGTTAGCATATCATAGCACTTTGTTATCAAGTTTTAGAATGTTTCCATTGTTCATTTGTGAGACATTCTGAGAATTTAATGAAAACAACATTTCCTATATTAACAAAGGGAAAATTAAGTTGCCTATTCTGAAAAATCAAAGTAATTAGATGACTTAGTGTAGAAAATCTGGAATTCCTTATTTATGTTAAAATTTTACATAATTGCTGAACTGCTATTCTGAGTAAATGCTTTCTTTCAAAAGATAATTTCTATTTCATGGCATTTAAAAATATTAGTAACATTATAGCTCAGGTGGAACCTTCAAATCAGCACCTTTTTACAGGGGAAGAAGTTGTCATGTTAGGTACATAAATCATTCCATTTTTGAACTTCTCCATGTTTTAAGGATTTTTTTTTTCCCTCTGAGGAACTACAACTGTCTATTATTTGCACAAGTTCATACTTCTAGGGTTAGGTAAGAAGTACGCTTATATATAAATAGCCCTTTCAAATATGAAGATCATTATGTTGTACAAACTTGTATCCACTAGGTTGTCTATGGTGAAAAGTGGTATGCTGTAGTGAGCTTAAATTGTCTCTTGGCACTAAATGCTAAATTTGCAGCAATTTTACTAGCATTTGACAACAGGTTGGTAACTTGAAATCAATCATGGCATCATAGTATTTACACCATGATAAAAAATCCATAAATCAGGACTTCTTTGCTGCTGACCTCCAGCTGATTATTAATCATTTATCAACATACTAGATTTATAGTGACTTTTAAAATGTACACATTTATTAACTATAAGCTTCAAAATTTGGTTATGCCTTTTAAAAAATATGGCTTGAAGTGTAAGATGATATTTGGAACCACTGTAATTGTCTTCTATCGTGTTCTTTTTACAAGTCTCCTCCTTTTGAATAAATTCTCTGGACTGATGACTCAGGAACTTTACTAAAATGTAAATTTTTTCATATGACTACACTGTGTAAGTCTCCACCTGGTGGATTTTGATTATTACATATTTATAAATAATTCTTAAACTTTAATGTATGCTCTTTAATCTTATAAACACTGCCACCTTTTAATGTCTTCATTCAAACATTTAATAGTGAACAACTATTATATGATCAGCACTGGACTGTTCCTGATATAGACAATATATAGATGGAAAAGGCATGGCTCATGAATGAAGGAACTTATATTTAGGATAGAGAAACTGACAAAAAGATTAGATAAAACTTTTACAAGTTAACTCACACTGTAACTCAAATCCACAGATAAAATAAAGATCTTTGATTTCAGTTTATTTTAATAATAATTTCTCCCTGATTTATTATGAATGCATTACTAGGAAAATAAAGATAATCAACTAAATATTCCACCAGATTAAAAATATAGAATAATGCAAATACTCCCATGGGATAGTCCTCTCACTTAGGATAAACAACAACAAAAACACTTATCTATGCCTTTCTTCTCTCATTCCTGTCTCTAAAGTAAATGTATGTATGTATATATGTATGTATGTATGTATTTTTTTACTTAATTACTTATTTACTTACTTACCTACTTATTTATGATAGGAGCCACAATTTTGCATACATGTGAAAACAGGAAGTTACAAATTGATTCCATAATGGAATTCGAAGGTGTACTGTCTTTTGTCACATATCTTTTGAGAATATTCAATTTCGCATGGCATGGCTTACCCAGGAGTTTCTAGTTAATTTTGACAATTAATGCTGTTATATCTGGTCCTGCTAACTTACTTATGAACAAATAGTGTCTTCTAGATGTCTTCCTTTAACCTGGAATCAAGCTATCCTCAGTCTCCTCAGTGTTTTTTAGAGGCCCAGTGTCTAATAGGTCAAGCCTCTTTCCTCTGTAATTCCATGCTATACATGCAGTCATTACTCTTTCTTTATATCACAATTCCTATGGGCTTGGATATAAGACAGTTTGTTGTATTACCTCTAGGGCATCTCCTAGTACCATATAGTGTGGCACATTTTTATAAGTGAAAGGGTATGTTCTCTATAATAGCAGGAAAATCTGTGGACTTAGTCTATGTTATTTGAGACAGAAATAAATTTGAAAACTATTCTAAGAAAAAACATATTTTGATAAGATTTTCTGTATTCTATAACACTATTATTTAAGGTCAGTATTTATTTTTTCTCTGAAGTTTTCACTTAAGTAATAAAAGTTTTGGATTAGCTTGGGTAGAATATTTTTACTCAGAAAAGTAGGCAAAAATTCCACAATTAATAATTTACAACTTATTATACAATAAAAATTGGTGATTGTTGACAATCTAAACTGAGGAAAATGGGAATTAAAGAAGTTTTAGAAAGCTAAATAAAAATTACAGATATTTAGAGCAAAAGTAAAATATGCAAAGTTTACCAGAGCAAAAATACTTGTGGAAAATACAAAGATTTCACAATAACTGAAATGTAGAATATGAGGAATGGAGAGGAATCAGTAAGGCTAAAGAAATAGGTAAGGTAAGATTAGAATGTATATTGGATGGAGTTCTATGAATGTATGTTGAAGGCTCTAACAAAAAGATAAATCTTTTAGGTGAGAACATAATACTTCAATTATAGTTTTAAAAGTATATTTTTGAAGGAAAGAGAATGAGTTAGATTAGAGCATAAACCTTGACACAAGAAGACAATGTTAAGAGAGAAGAATGAAGTGGCCTGGGTTTAAAATATGTTTATGTAAAATGTTTAAAATATATAAAATGCAATATTTATAATTTTAACTATATATATATTCAAAAATATATATTTCCCATAAATTTGTGCCTTTTAAAAAGTATGGCTTGAAGTGTAAGAAGATATTTGGTTGCATAATTAACAAGAAATGAGAAGAAAGTAATTTCACCCTGGGTGTAAGAGAACATAAAAGGTGACAGGATTATTTTTGCTGGAAAGATAGTGGAAAAGGTTAATAATATTTACAATATTTACATAAGAAAGGAAAAATACAAAACATTGGCCACATAGTATCTTCTCTGCCCTAAATCAATGTATACTCTGGGTCTTCTTAAAATAAAGTCCTGGCTATTTTGTTTGCTGAGAAAGGCAATGACCATTTCCCTGGAATAATTATTTCCATCTTTTATAGACTATAACTCAATTTTTTTTTAATTTTGAAACTATTTTACATGTTTATAATAAGATATTCACTATATGTTATAAGACCATATATGTGTTACACATTAGACCTCTAAACTAATTAATTCTATATAAATGGAAATTTGTATCCTTTGTTCAACATTTACCCATTTTCTCTATCTTTCTGCCCCTGGTAACCACCATTTTACTCCTTGCTTTTGTGTATTTAACTCTTTGATTCCACAAATAAGTGAAATCATGTGATACTTGTCTTTCTGTGACTTATTTTACTGTGCATTATGTCCTTCATGTTCATCTAGACTTTTCTTCTTTTAAATGGCTAAACAATATTTAAGTCTGTATGTGTGCTTGCGTGTGTGTGTGTGTGTGTGTGTGCACACGACATTTTCTTTATTCATTCATCTGCAAATGGACATTTAGGTTGTTTTCATACCTTAGCTATTGTGAACAATGCTGCTATTAACATAGAAGCACAAATATCTCTTTTAAGAGTTAGTAATTTCATTTTCTTTGGATTTATACCCAGAAGAAGAATGACGGGATCATGTGGTAATTATTTTTGTTCATTTTTTTTTTGCAGAAATTGAATACTGCTTTCCATAATGTCTGTAACAGTTTACATTTCCATCAACAGCATATAAGGTGTTTCCTTTTCTCTGCATCTATGCCAACACCTGCTATAGTTTTGATAATAGCCCTCTAACAGGTGTTAGGTGATATTTCATTGTGATTTTGACTTACATTTCCCTGATGATTAGTCATGTTTAACACCTTTTCATATACATGTAGGGCATTTGTATGTCTTCTTTGAAAATCATTTTTAAATCACATTGTGTTGTATTGAGATATATGAGTTCCTTATATATTTTGAATATTAATCCTTGTAAGATATATATATATATACACACACATATATAATTTGAAAATATTTTATGCCATTTGGTAGGTTGACTTTTTAGATTTTTTTTCTTTTATTGGGCAGAAGCTTTTTAGTTTGATGTAGTCTCACTTTTTTATTTTTTCTTTTGTTGCCTGTGCTTTGTGATATTCAAAACCTCATTACTAAGATATTTTCCTTCTTCTACGGTTCCTTTGTTTCATGTCTACATTTAAGTTTTAATCCATTTGGAGTTGATTTTAACTTATGGTATAATGATCCAAATTCATTTGTTTACATGTGGCTATAGTTTTTCTAACACTATTTGTTCAAGATACTATCCTTTCCCCATTGTGTATTCTTGGAACCCTTGTCAAAAATTAGTTGACCATATATGAGTAGGTTTATATCTGAACTCTTTATTTTTGTTCCATTGGTCAATTTGTTTTTATGTCAGTGCCATACTGTTTTGATTGCTATAGCTTTGTAATATGGTTTTGAAATCAAGAAGTTTGATGCCTCCAGATTTGTTCTTCTTTGTAAAGAGTGCTTTGGCTATTCAGGGTCTTTTGTAGCTTTATACAAATTTTAGAATTTTTTTTTCTTTCTTTTAAAAATGTCCTGGAATTTTGATAGGAACTTCCTTGAATATACAGTTGTATTTGGGCAGTATGGATATTTTAACAATATTAATTATTCCAATCCATGAACA